AGAGAGAGAGAGAGAGAATGAATCCCAAGCAGGCTCTGTGCTGAGCAGGATCATGGGATCATGACCCAAGCTGAAATCAAGAGTCAGATACTCCAGCGACTGACTGAGCCACCGAGGCACCCCAACCTCTTGAGGCTTTTAATTACATCAAAATACTGAGTTTTCCTCTAAGGTGTATATAGAACTGGTAATGAGCTACTTAGTTAAGAAAACAATTTCTTAAGTCTTTAAGTAAATGTTTATGTTTTGAGCTCTTCCCCAACCCCTGCCATGAAGCAGAGCAAAAAGAAATACAAAAAGGGATGCTTTTTTAAAGAGCCACTGTTAAAAATAAGATGAACTTCTCTGTGGGCCACACATGACAACAAAAACTGTCAACAGAGCTGAGCTGTGGGGATACCAGACTCCTGACACTAGCAGCTATGAGTTTTAGTGATGAGGAATGAACCGAAAGTGTCCACAGAAGCCTCACCTCCTGAAATCAGGGGTTAACCTAAGCTGACTACAATTCAACAAAATTATAAATCAACTAAGATGGTTCTTCTTTTCTATCATAAAAACATACATGGTGGGGAGAGGAAGTCACACACACAAAAATCAAAGTAGTACAGATCAAACTTATGATACAGCTATAACAGAAAAAGTTATAGGGGACCTTAGCATAGGGCTAAGCAAATAAATCAGAATACAATATGGAGCTCAGAACCAAACACTTACAGGGTAATTGAATGACAGACGTAGCATTTGAAATACTGATACTTGAAGGAACAGCAACAGACATACAAAAATAAACAAGATCCCAAAATCGCACCATAAGCAAAAGTTAATCAGACGAATAAACACCTCAACATTAAAAACAAAAATTTAACTTTTGGAAAGACATAAAGGAGAGTATCTTTATGACATTTCCTATACAAGCCCCAGAAAGCACTATTATGAAAAATTGGTAAGATTCCATTAAAATTAAAAGCCTTTATTTAAGAAAACTCCACACTCAAATACAAAGATAAACCACAAGCTACAATAGGTAGTTGAAACACAGAGAACAGGGGCGCCTGGGTGGCGCAGTCGGTTAAGCGTCCGACTTCAGCCAGGTCACGATCTCGCGGTCCGTGAGTTCGAGCCCCGCGTCAGGCTCTGGGCTGATGGCTCAGAGCCTGGAGCCTGTTTCCGATTCTGTGTCTCCCTCTCTCTCTGCCCCTCCCCCGTTCATGCTCTGTCTCTCTCTGTCCCAAAAATAAATAAACGTTGAAAAAAAAAAAAATTTAAAAAAAAAAAAAAAAAAGAAACACAGAGAACAGGTCATTAGTTAGTATTCAATATATGGAACACCTACAAATTGATAAGGAAAAGACAAAACCTAATAGAAAAATGGACAAAGGTATGGCCTCAGAAATCACACACTGCATTTCTTCAATCTCCTAGTAGTTATTAAAGTCAGCACTATTCAACATGTGAGACTATACAAGGGCATGAATACCAGGAGGGTGACCATTGTGGCCATCTGGAGGCTAGCTACCACATACACAAAAAAGTATTTTGTAGTGCTTTGAAAACATACACATGTATTAAAAACATAAAAACACAAACTAGAATATACACCACCTCCAGGACAATGGTTACCTCTGGGGAGAGAAGGGGTGGGATCAAAGAGGTAGCAAAAGTTTCAAATGTATCTGACATTTACAAACATAGATCTGAAGAAAGTATAGCCAAATGCTAACATTTATTTATTTTTTTAAATGTTTATTTATTCTTGAGAGAGAAAGCAAAAGCGGGGGAGGGGCAGAGAGAGAGAGAGGAACAGAAGAGCCAAAGATCTGTGCTGTCCACACAGAGCCCGATGAGGGGCTCAAATCCACGAACTGTGAGATCAAGACATGAGCTGAAGTCTGGACGCTTAACAGACTGAGCCACCCAGCTGCCCCAAATGCTAATATTTATTAAATCTGTATGGTAGGGATATATTCTTTAATCATTCACTTTTCCTGTTATGTTCGAAATATTTCAATAAAAAGTTTTAAAATAATGAACCCAAAGAAATGGAAATAAAATTTGCTTTGAACAAGTTTATTTTTATACATTTTAAAATTGCAATTTTCGTGACATGTAAGAAAAATATTTTTCTAATATGAAAATAAGTATCTCTTTGGTATAGAAGCACACCATTTGTGTTATCTTTAACTAAAAAGAAAAAATTAAAAAAAAAAAAGGGGACCAAGAACTATGACCTAATATACTCAATGAAACTATTCTTTGCCCATCCGTTTGTCCCCTTTCATAACCCCACTGTGGGTCTTTAGAATACGTATCTGTACACAACTCCATATCTACAAAGAACTAAGATGCATTATCAAAGATGTCTAGAAATTACGGAAAATTAGTTGGCTTAATTGTCAACACAAACCACCAAAGAGAGACAGAGAGAATATAAGATATGGAACAAGTAAAGTAGAACGTTGTCAATAAAGTCAAATTATATGCAAGCAATCACATCATTTAAATTTGTTGGCTTAAAAACACAGTAATTTCTTTAGAATCATATTTAGAATTTAAATTATTATGTGCAAAGCTCAAAAAGTAATAGTACAGAGCCATAATTTTGACAAGGCACTTTAAAGAGAACAACCAAACATACAACATCAAAAAGAGTTAACCTGAGAAATAAACAAGGAAAAAATATAAACATTCTTTCTAGACAGGCTTTCATTTTCTGAAATAAAAGCTTTTTAGAAAGCATCGTAAAGGATAAAACAATATTTATCATATATTTTAAAAAGTTGTCCTCAAAGTTCAAATTCTTGTAAAAAAAAAAAAGAGAGAGATTGTATTCCTTCAAGTCAGTGAGGTTCTGAGTCAAATACTTTTTTAGAAAAACAATTACAATTTTCATGGTAAAAACAGGAACAAAAAAAACAGCTTTTAACTGTACTGTCAACTCTTTTATTCAACAAACATTTACTGATTGCTGTGTGACACAGTTGTTCTAGGTGCTGGAGATAAACAAGACACAATCATTAGTTCCAGGGACCTTGGCCTAGTGGCACTGGGCCAACATTGGTAGCCTTAAAGTTACCTCCCTAGGTCTGTAAAATAAAGCTCAACTTCAAACTCTGGCATTCTTGGCATCTTCTTGCAAATCAAATAGAATAATGATTTAACTATTTTTTTTTCTGCCATTAAAACTACAGATAACAATATCCACTGATGAAATTAACTTCCATAAATGATTCTATGAAAGTTTAGAGGACAGAAAGTATTTAAAGATAAATATTGCCAACATCAAATATAACATCAGTATTCTGCTTTCACAAAAGTGAAGGAAACCAAAAAAATTTCATTCTGAATACACAGAACTACTGGAGACTACCTTATACTTATGGTACACGTGCAAATATCATCAATGAGGAAGAGGGAATTATTACACAGCCAAATCAGTTGTCAGGCTTCAAAGAATCATAACCTTCTTTCAAGAGGTCCCTCCATGTTTTAAGGAAACGTGCATTTTCTGTACATTTGAAGGCAAGCTCTTCCACTTGAGCTGATACTGCAGATGTGGCTTCAAGAAGTTTGGTTAATGAAAATGCTGCCTGAAATTTAAAAAAAAGAAAGAAAGAAAGAAAGAAAGAAAGAAAGAAAGAAAGGAAGGAAGGAAGGAAGGAAGGAAGGAAGGAAGGAAGGAGAAAGAAAGAAAAGAAAAAAGAAACAACAGAAGTTTATTTTTAAGATTTTCATCTCATTTTATAAATAGTCTGAAAATAGCTTAAAACCTTGATTCCATTGCCTAAGTTATTTTCCTTAAAAGTAACAAAAAAATCTTCAAACGAAAATACCAGCTCTTTCAGGGAACCCAAGAAATTCTTTCATATGAAGTAAGCTTTGAGGAAATATGTCTGCTGGAAAGGCATCCATTATGCACCAAACATAACAAATCAGTATTTTTTTTTAACTGAAAATACACTAGGGGTGCCTAGCTGTCTCAGTCCATAGAACATGAAACTCTTCATCTGGGGGTTGAGTTCAAGTCCCACTTTGGGTGTAGAGATTACTTAAAAAAAAAAAAAAAATCTTTAAAAGAAAAAAAGAAAAAAGAAAGTAAAAAAAAAAAAAATACACTAGAATCTCATTTAACTCAACAAGAGGACTTGGATCCCTTGACACTAAGGACCAGAATTATCTGAAGAAGGACTTACAGACTTACTTCATCATAAACAACTCACTAAAAAATAAAAAACTCACTGATATTTAGTAACAAGGGCAGCGCTCCACTAATTTTACCTGTGAACGCTATTTAAACCATGAAAATATATACAACAAAGAATAGATACTCTGAGCTGACATATATGAACAAAATCAAAATGAACAAAATCAAGCATACAGAAATGTTTTCTTCACCTATAATATAGAATAACACTGTTCCTACACTAACACATCAGCAGTCCAGTCTACATATTCTCTTGAAACCAGTCTTGTTCAGCAAAAACACTGTTTTGTTCACCATTTTAGTCATCTTTAAACAAGCAAACAAATACTTGTTAAGATAATCGAGTTCATTATCCAGTTTCCAGTCTGCACAACAGGGTCTATTCCACAAAGTTCTCCCAGGAGGATCACACCCTACATACCTCATTCACTTGACCCATCCAAGAGTCTTTTTATACTGAAACTCCGGTGATGGGTGAGTAGGTGGGTGTGCGCGCCACTGGGAATTCGCAATTCAACAGAAACCATACTATGCGTTCTAGCAATCATAGGGAGGGGTTTTTGACCTAACCTTTAATGAAACCCAATCTAGACTACAAGAGCAGTTAAGTAATCCCTCCAAACTGGGTCCAGCGCACAGCAAGCCTAAAACAGACAATAATAGCATTACCAGCTGGCTCTGGCGGGTGGCCAACTAGAGCAGCGGGATCTTAAGTCCCAAGGAAAGAAATCACAGCCTGATTCTAAGCACCAACAGGCAACAAGGAGAGCACAGACACCGCCTGCACAAGTCGGCGCAGTAGAGCAGAACGGTTTCAGGTTACAGAGGGTGATTGAAACCAGAAGGCGAGACTAAAAGAAAATAGGGGTGGGGCGGTGGAGGGATAACCCCTTATTCCTCAACACTAAATCTAAAGGCGGAATCCTCATAGATGGGGGACAAAGGGCCTTGGGTCGCCAGTTTACTCAACCCATCCCCCAGCCCATACTCTGAAAGGGCAGAAGCGCGAGACGCGCCGGACTGAGTGCGCGGACTCCTGGTCCTTTTCTCCCTTGCACCGCCAAGGTCTGTCTTCCAAAAAGGGCTGAGTGGGGACCTGTCTACCAACACTCACGTCTCCGATCTGCAGCTCCACTTCCTCCAGGGGGTCCACTGTTCGGCTGCTGCTTCTGCTTGGAACTGGCCAGCCCAAACTCACTGGGACGCCGGGGGAGGATGTTGACGAGGCGTCTGAAGACGAGGGAGACGAAGGAGGTGGCGGGGGCGGCGAAGAAATCTGCACGTCCTCAGGGTTTGCCATTGAGCGGGGCTGGGACTGCGGAATCCGACCTTAGCAGCCGAACAGACACCAAGAGTCTTTCAAACTGCTCGCGCCCAACGCCCAGAAGCCCCGCCTCCTCCCGGCCGCAATCCCGCCCAGTATACTAGTGGGTCTCTAGCCAAATCCGCGGATACCAGTCATTTTTTCGGGACAGCCAATCATATGTCAGTTAATTCACCTTGGGTAGCTCAACGCTCTTGCGCAAACTTCCAGTCAGGCTCAGAAGACGCTTGAGCAGAGGACTACAACTCCCAGAATGCCGTATGCATCGAGCCACCTCCCACTGCTTTTGATGCGAGCGCGTTACACTACCGGATCTGTGGGTCTCTCTCACAAGCCCTCGGAGGCCTCACCACGCCTTGGTGAGACGCAAACTCAGAACCAATCCTCAGCCTGAAGCCGGGGGCGGGCTGGGACTTAGAGTCTCTTTCCTTTTCCTCTTTTGGAACGTGACCCGGAAGTCTCTGCTGGACATCGCGTCCATGCGTGGCGCCGGCGCAGAGCGAGAAAGAGGCGGGAACACGGTGAAGCCACAGTGTTGGGCCGAACTCTAGGCAAACTTCAGCGGAGGTGTTGGTCCTTCTTGGCAGGTGATGGCGCCCCCCGCGGCCTAGAGGTCCAGCGCCCGCGGCGAGCCACAGACAGCCCTTCCGTTGTGTCCCACCGACAGTCCTGGGAACAGTGAATATGTTGGTGCCGCTAGCCAAGCTGTCCTGCCCGGGTGAGAGAGAACTCCGGGCGGGGATAAATGGAGGAAGGTCGAGGAGTCAGGGCGAAAAGGACAGGGCCACACCTGGGGCGGGGGAGGGGGGGTGCGGCTGGACACCGACCTCTCTCCTCCGGCTCTCCTGGCGTTCACTGGTTAAACTAAGACGAAGGCCACGCTGTCTGCGCCTGGTAATGGACCCTAAATTCCTCCCCATTGAGTTGCCCCAATTGGAAGAATTAACAACTAGGTTAAAGGTCGTGGGCTGAGGAACCTTGTCAACATGACCCTCCGGTGGACTCCTGAACCGAATATTCCCAAATCCTGGTCCTAAAACTCTTATCCCATAGCTCAGGTGTTATATGTTGCATTGTTTTAAATGGATAAAATAATATTTGCACAGTTTTTCTTCTTGGTCGTGTACTGACTTTCGTCTTTGCACCCAGCCTAGTACATTCTTAAGAATTTGAAGTCCGATCTGTCACATCATGATTAACATCCATGTGCTGCCCCAAGTCACCATATTACATCTGGAGCCAGAAATTTTTCTACATTGTCTAAAATTAACTTTAGAGGCTTACCGTGTTATGGGTGCTCCTAGAACCATCATGATGATTTGTGAAAATACCTCATTACCTTCCCTTTCTCTTAAGTAAAAATAATAATAATAATAATGCAGTTGAATGGTCTTTGGTTGGTTTTACTTAAAAACAAAAAAAGTTTAAAAATTCAAAAAACTTCACTGCAGAATCTTGAATTTTCTCACAGTTGTCTTAATTTTTTTATCTTTTATTTAATTTTTGGTTATGGAATAAACAAGTATACATACTGCAGATTCAACGATGTTCTTATTATGTACATTTTATGAAAGTAGAATTTTGTCAGATTTGGCTACCATATGTTAAATTAGAATTTTGTTTAAAGTTCCTGTTACTCATACATGTATTACTACACCTAATGTGTAGATATGCTTTATGTTTTGTGGAATATCAAAGTAGTCAGATGCTATCTACCCTACTGCCTAATTTAGCTGAAACCATTCTTGGGCCAAGCCTTAACCAAATTCCACCACAATCAGCATTTCCATTTTCCATGGATACTTAAATCATTGTCATTTTCATAGCTCAGTGTTAGCACTACTGGCAACAAAGAGATGGACACAAATGTGTTGGCAGTGATGTTATGAGTTCAATGGACTTTTTGACCTTCTCTACCAAAATTCAGCCAAGTTGCCTAATGGTTCAGATGTTTAAAGTGGAGTACCAGATTTGTTTTCAGAAAAAGAGTAAAGGTCATGACTTTTTAATTTTTATCCCCTGGGGAAAATCAAACTACCCAACTCCAAATATTCTCAAGAAAACCACTGGCTATGTAAGCAATAGAATTAGTTTTGTCTGATACCAGGTCAACAGTTTGCAGCAGCAAATGATAACTTCTATACACTAAACTACAATTCATCACAAAACAAAGATTTTTAATATCTTTTAATAATACAAATAATTAATAAATATTCTTTTGAATAATGATAATGCTCTATTTGAACTGAACTCTAGAACTGAATTCTCCTGTAATATCTTTATTTATGTATTTTAGATACATTTTTTTCAAGATTTAGGATATGTGAAAAGTTACCTAATAATTAAAACATTATTCCCAATATTAAAATTTTTAGTATGCCTCTGTAAGTAGAGAAAATTAGTTTCCTTGCCACTCTTTTTTTAAGATTATCAAAAACATTTTTTTTAATATTTATTTTTGAGAGAGAGAGAGCACATGCACAAGTGGAAGAAGGGCAGAGAGAGAGAGGGAGACACAGAATCTGAAATAGACTTCAGGCTCCAAGCTGTCAGAACAGAGCCCATCCCGGGGCTTGAACCCACAACCATGAGATCATGACCTGAGCCAAGGTCAGATGCTTACCCGACTGAGCCACCTAGGTGCCCCAAGATATTTTTTAGTGTTTAAAAGTCCTTAGAGTTGAGCCACTATACATCTCTTTCCTTCCTGTTTCCCACAATCTTTACTTATTGATTTTCTGAGGCCAGATTTTTGCTTTAAAAAAATATTTTATTGGAAAGAATAAATCATAAAAATATGCTAGTTCTGCAATTAGGTACTAAAAAATAATTAGACTATGCCAGGCAATTATCTCTCCATGTAATTAGAAAAGAAAGGGAAAAAAAAAATCTTGTTTTCATCACAGCACAGTTTCCATTCACAAATCATTCCAAATCCGATCATAGTCTCAGAGCTTGACTGATATTGGAAGGATTGAGACTGAGCTTGAGTGGGATCATCTGAATTCCTATTTATCTACTGTAAATGGGGATGAGCTGCCCCACAATTTTTATAAGGTCATGAAGGATAAGATGTATTAAAATTGAAAATTCTTGTTTTTTAATTTTTAAGTTGATTTACTTTGAGAGAGGGAGAGCACATGAGTGCGCAGGCACGCACAAGCAGGGGAGAGCAGAGAAAGAGATAATCCCAAGCATCAGGCTCTGCGCTATCAGCACAGAGCCCGAGGCCGGGCTCAGTCCCATGAACCCTCAGATCATGACCTAAGCCGAGATCAAGTAGGATGCTTAACTGACTGAGTCACCCAGGCACCCCTAAAATTGAAAATTTTGAACTGTTCAGTATGTCCATTAAAATGTAAATTTTATTGTATGTTTCAAATCCATGTAAAAGTCTTTGTTGATCTTTACTAATTATTTGTTATAGCCCATATTTAGAAACTTATTTTTGGGATGTCTAGCTGACTCAGTCAGTAGAGCATGTGACTCTTTATATCGGGAGTGTGAGTTCAAGCCCTACATTGGGTGTAGAGTTTACTTAAAAATAAAATCTTAAAAGAAAAAGAAACTTGTTCATTTGCAGATAGATGCTTCCTTATAAGAGACAAGTTAAAAACCAGGAAAGGCCTCATTATTATTGTTATCGCTGTATAACCCAAGTTACTTTTTGGAAATTAAACCACAGATTTGCAGGTTCCTGCAAATTACAGTGAAAATTGTAACTAGGAAGATATCTATTTAGTTATCAAATATGTATTAGCCCCTTGCTTTTTGTAAGAGTTATACTAGATCATATATCATAGTATTTCCAAGGCAAAGACTGACCATAAACTTTAGAGCTGATGGGGTGAGCAGAGTTAGAATAACATGCTGAATGTTTCGTTGCTGTTAATGAATTCAAACACAATGTAAACAGACTCCAAAACCTATGCACTTAACCACTGCTTTTTTCCATGTTGCCCTTTTCTATTTGTTTTGGTTTTAATTAATAAACTTAGTTTTGGGGGGGCAGTTTTAGGTTTAAAGAAAAGTTGAGCAGAAAATACACAGAGTTTCCATATAACTTTCCCCCATTCCCCATTAACATCTGGTATTGGCGGTACATTTGTTACAATTGGTGAACCAATTTTGATACATTGTTATTAGAGTTCATTCTTTGTATTGTACATTTTATGTGCATTTGACAATGTGTAGTGACATGTATCCACCATTAGTTACATTATTGTATAGAATAGTTCACCCCCAGATCCCCTGTGTTCCACATATTCATCCCTTCTTCTCTCTTCCAGAACCCATGGCAACCACTGATTTTTTTGTAATGTCTCTATAATTTTATCTATAGAATGTCACGTAGTTGAAATCATGCAGTATGTAGACTGGCATTTTCAGATTGCCTTCTTTTAATATGCATTTAAGTTTCCTCCATGTCTTTTCATGTCTAATAGTTCATTTCTTTTTAGTGCTAAATAATATTCTGTTGTTTGGATGCACCCCAGTGTATCTGTTTATCCAGTCACCTATTGAAGGACATCTTCCAAGTTTTGACAATTATAAATAATGCCGCTATACATTCATGTGAAGGGCTTTGTTTTTAATATTGGCCATTTTCTTTCTTTTATTTTATTGTGATGAGAACTCTTAACATGACATAGACCCTCTTGACAAATGTTTAAATGTATGTTATTGTTGACTATAGGTACAGTGTTGAACATCAGATCTCTAGAGCTTACTCCTCTTGCTTGACTGCAGGTTTTTGTGTGGACATTAATTTTCAACTCATTTGGGTAAATACCAACGGGTGCAATTGCTGGATCATTTTTTTTTTTTTATATGAAATTTATTGTCAAATTGGTTTCCATACAACACCCAGTGCTCATCCCAAAAGGTGCCCTCCTCAGTACCCATTACCCACCCTCTCCTCCGCTGGATCATTTGTTAAGAGCATGTTGAGCTTTGTTAAGAAATGCCACACCATCTCCCAAAGTGTACCACTTTGCATTCCACTAGCAATGGATGAGAGATCCTTTTGCCCCACATCTCTGTTAGAAAAAATTTTTCCAGTGTTTTTCTCATAATCTTTATTGTGTGTGGTTGTGAATATTCTTTTTTTAATAATAGTTTTATTGAAGGGCGCCTGGGTGGCGCAGTCGGTTAAGCGTCCGACTTCAACCAGGTCACGATCTCACGGTCCGTGAGTTCGAGCCCCGCGTCGGGCTCTGGGCTGATGGCTCAGAGCCTGGAGCCTGTTTCCGATTCTGTGTCTCCCTCTCTCTCTGCCCCTCGCCCATTCATGCTCTGTCTCTCTCTGTCCCCAAAATAAATAAACGTTGAAAAAAAAAATTAAAAAAAAAAATAATAGTTTTATTGAGATATGTCACATACCATACAATCACACCATCTAAAATACACAGCTCAATGGCTTTTAATACAAACATAACAGTCGTGCAGCCCTCACCACAGTCTATTTCAGAACATTTTCATCACCTTAAAAAGAAACCTCACACCATTAGCAGTCACTCTTCAACCTCTCCAGCCCTAGGCAACAACTAATCTATTTTCTCTCTATAAATTAGTCTAGTCTGGATATTTCATATACATGGAATTCTATTATATGTGATCTTTCCCTGCTGGCTTCTTTCATTTAGCAATATGTTTTCAAAGTGTACCATATTGTAGCATATATCACTACTTTATTTCTTTTTGTTGCTAAATAATACTCCATTGTATGAATATATCACCTTTTTCCATCCACAAACAGACATTTGGATTTTCTCTATAATTTAGCTGTTATGAATTATGCATCTGTGAAGATTCATGTACAAGCTCTTGTGTGTTTTCATTTGTCTTAGGTATATACCTAGGGGAGAGCTACATAGAAATTCTATGCTTAAGGTTTTGAGGAACTGAGAGACTGTTTTCCAAAGTGGCTGCACCATTTCACATTCCCACCAGTTGTGTATGAGGGTTCCAGTTTTTCCACATCCTCATCAACATTTGTTATTATCCCTCTTACTGCTTATAACCCTCCTAGTGGATATAAAGTATTTTCTCATTGTGGTTTTGATTTGTATTTCCCTGATGGTTAATGATGTTGAGAATCTTTTTATGTGCTTATTGGCCATTTATATATCTCCTTTGGAGAAATGTCTATTCAGATCCTTTGTCTCTTTTTTAATCTGGTTGTCTTTTTATTATTAGAGATGAGTTTATTATATATGCTTGATACAAGTCCCTTATGAGATATATGATTTGCAAATATTTTCTCCCATTCCATGAGTTATCTTTTCACTTTCTTGATGGCATCCCTTGAAGATAAAAGGTTTTTATTTTGTTGAAGTATAGTTTACCTATTTTCTCTTTTGTTGCTTGTGGTTTTGGTATCATAGCAAAGAAACCTTTGTCTAATCCAGGGTCACAAAGATTTATACCCATATTTAAAAAAAAATTATAGTATGAGCTCTCACATTTGGGTCTTTGAAGCTTTTTGAGTTAACTTTTGTATCACCATAATCTTAATCTTTTAACTTTGTATTTTTAAATAATTTTACACTTACAGAAGCATTGTAAAGATAACAGAGTTCCCATATACCCTTTGCCCAGCTTAACTCTTTACATAAGCATAGTATAATTATCAAAACTAAGAAATTGATATTGATGTAATACTATTAACTAAACTACTGACTCTATTTGGATTTTATTATTCTGTTCCAGGATCCAGTCCAGGACACCACGTTGCTTTTAGTTGTCATGTCTCCTTAGTCTACCTCAATGTGATAGTTCCTCTGTCTTTTCTTGTCTTTCATACTTTTGATATGTACTAGCCAGGCATTTTGTAGAATGTTCCTCAATCTGAATTTGTCTGACTTCTCATAATTACACTGAGGTTATAGATTTTGGGGGAAGTATGACACATAGGTGAAGAGCTCTTCTTATCTTATCAGGGAGTATGTTTTACCAACATATCTTATTGCCAGTAATGTTAAACTTGATCATTTGGTTAAAGGGTCTGCTATATTTCTCCACTATAAAAGTAATATTTTTCCCTTTCATGCTCTACTTGTGGGAAGCTAGTAACTAATTGCAACTTACACTCAGAAGCAGAGAAACAAATAATCTGTGGATGTATCACCATAATCTTTTATACTTTGACTTTTTCTGTTAAAATCATAGGCCAAGTGGAATTCATTTTGATAGGAAGAAAAAGGTACACTTTTTTCCCAAATGACTATCTCCCTATCTTTGATGATTTAGTGAGTAACCATCTCTTCTCCCTGATTAGAAATGGCATCTTTATCAGACATCAAATCCTGAACTCTTTATTCTTTTCCTTTGATTATTCTATCCCTTCTCCTATAACAGACTTTTAATTATTATAGCTCCAAATACAAGTTTTTATACTTTTCAGGGCTATTCCCAAGGGAGGATTCTCTGCCCCCCCCCTTTTTTTTTTTTTTTTTATAATGGGAAAAATTATGAAGAAGAGTACCGGAGAAGAGAGACTGAAATTGAAGATACAGGTCAAAGGGAAGGCCTCAGATGGAGGGATGTCCCTACAAATATGGGAGGGATAAGCCTCATCATCCAGGTGGAAGGATTAATCTAAGTGAAGGGAAACGACATCTATTATAACCTAAGAGAATGAACAAAGAGTAGATACAAATACAGATTACATTAGAAGTTGTTGCCAAGGAAATAGGGAAGTTCCCACCTAATTGCTTCTATCTTTCTATGATGTTTGGTGTGTTAGAGTATCTGCTTCAGATAAGGGAGGGAGGAGGTAGAGTTGAAGATTTTAGGACAACAGAGGTTTAAAGAAAATTATTGCAGATAAATCTTTGCACACCTCTGTTTATTTCTATTTTCTAACTTAAAGTATAGGTACATTTTTGAGGCTCTCAGAAGATACTGCCATATGGGAGAGTTAATTTTTTAAAAGGCTGACCATAAAACCTAGTTTGCCTGCATTGTCCCAGCATAATTAATACTGCCCCTTGTTACTCTCACAAGTATCCAGTTGATAAATTATATGGTCATCCTATTTATAGGTTAGGCTTGATATGAGCTATATTGAAAAATTAGTTTATTAGATACTTCTACAATATTATAGTTTGAAAACATTACTTTAATGAGGAGAAACTAACTAAATTGTTCACCTGGGGCACATGGATGCCTCAGTCAGTTAAGCATCCGACTCCGGCTTAGGCTCAGGTCATGATCTCTCAGTTCATGTATTCAAGCCCCACGTTGGTCTCTCTGCTGACAGCTCAGAGCCTGGAGCCTGCTTCCAATTCTGTGTCTCCCTCTCTCTCTGCCCCAACCCCACTTGTGCTGTGTCTCTCTCTGTCTCTCAAAAATAAACAAATGTTAAGAAAATTTTAATTGTTCGTCTAGGAAATAGTATAGTGTGTTTCAGTACATGCACAACTAATGGCTCAACAACATAGACCTAACTATTAATTGAATGCGGTACTGATATGGTCAGATTATGAACACAGATTTCCAAATATAAGACATCATATGGAATCATACAATTTTAGATCAAAAAGTTACCTTAATCATCTCATGCCAGTCAGAGTGGCTAAAATGAACAAATCAGGAGACTATAGATGCTGGAGAGGATGTAGAGAAATGGGAACCCTCTTGCACTGTTGGTGGGAATGCAAACTGGTGCAGCCACTCTGGAAAACAATGTGGAGGTTCCTCAAAAAATTAAAAATAGATCAACCCTATGACCCAGCAATAGCACTGCTAGGAATTTACCCAAGGGATACAGGAGTACTGATGCATAGGGGCACTTGTACCCCAATGTTTATAGCAGCACTCTCAACAATAGCCAAATTATGGAAAGAGCCTAAATGTCCATCAACTGATGAACGGATAAAGAAATTGTGGTTTATATACACAATGGAATACTACTTG